ACGCACACGCGCCTGGTGTGAGTTTAAGCCACCGGGTCCAAGACTAGAACCGCAGTCAACTACATGGGAGTCCAGCGACATAGCCATTACACTAAATGCTGGTCCCAACTCTTGGGTCTTTTTGATGTGGCCTTCATCATTCATTGCAACTTTGTTTCATTGTGAAGAACTTCACTTTGGTGCTGACAGGTAGTCCCTGACTGCTTTCAGGAACTTTGTCACAGGTCTTCCAGTTTCCAGAAGCCCAAAAGCCTGGTGAGACAGGACTGTATGCACATGGCTTCTAGTTTCACCTACTTAGCAAAGAACCCTAAGAATAAATCATGTCTGTTTTTGCATAATCACAACTCTCAGACAGAAATGTGAAAGCCCAAGGGAGAACATGCTGCTGATTTTGCATGATTTAGTATCAAGACTGCCACATCCTATTCAAGTTACTGCGAGACTAGTCTTTTTCCATTCCACTCTCTCGCCTGCTTTCCAGTCCTGCTGCACTATTGACACAGAGCTTTGTGCCTTCTCCACCTCAATGCCTGTGCCCTGCCTCAGTCTCAGGTTAGCCACCTATTCTTCCTAGAAGCCTCCCCAGACCACAGATCTGACAGCAACGTCTCTCTTGTATATTCCCCATAGCATCTTGGTTTTCCTTTTTTGTGGCACTTATCTCAGGTAACTGCAGTTGTCTGTTTATCCCATTGCCTGCTTCCCCTGATGCCCACGAGACTACCAGAACCTGGGCATGCTCACCTCGGCTTCCCCAGCATAGTTGTTGAACGGATGAATGAAACTCACATGGCTTCTGGTTGACTCCTCTGCCAAAGAGTTTATTACCCTGAGTTGAAATCCACCCATCACATATTCCTCTCTCCCTCCCCATCTCATCGGGATTGGGAGCTCTGTTAGAGACCAGCTCTAACCCCTTCACTGTCTCCATTGTCTAGAGCTATTACTTCTCTCCCCAACATTGTTATTAAAAGCTAAGGAGCCTGCATTTCCATAAAACCAAGAGCAGTTAGTGCAAAACTTGTTTCTGTGCTCACTTTGACTTCCAATTTTAGAATCATTTTTGGGAAGTAGAACAAAGTTCCTCTTCACATTTTCCACTGAAGTGGTCTTTGGAAAATTGAAGGGACCTGGGCTCCCCTGAAAGCTTTCCTTAAGGGGCACACATTTTGCAGTAGGAATTTATTAAAACATTGATTTTTCTCTCCCTCCTGGGTCACCCCCAATGGCATATAAACAAGCCATTATTTCTCCTGTCTTAAAAACATAAACTTGGGACCAGCAGCTAGAGTAATGGTTATGTCGCTGGGCTCCTACATGGTCGATCATGGTTTGAGTACTAGAACTGGTCACTTCAGACTCACACTGGGCATATGGGCATGCATGCTCAAGATCCTGGGAGGAGAAGGGATTGTGGCATGACCATAGCCCCTGGGGGGTGATTTCTCACTTTTCCTCTCACCGTATCTGTCTTTCTCTTTCCCCAGTGAGTATACATGCCCTAAGGCAAAAAACTCTCTCAAAAAAAAAAGAAAGAAAGAAAGAAAGAAAGAAAGAAAGAAAGAAAGAAAGAAAGAAAGAAAGAAAGAAAGAGAAAGAAAAGCAGCAAACACTGTGATTAAGGGGGTGAATGCTCAAGTGTCTCCTATCTTTTAAAAAAATCCCTTAATTCCAGAGTTCTTTTACACTCCTTTCACATCAGGCATCTCTGGAATTGGCTGAGCCTCCTCTCTACTTTTTAAACTTCACTTTCATTACTGAGCCTCCCACTCTCTGAGTTCAAATCCATTCTTATGTTGAACCTCAATTTTATCATTTATAAAATGGAAATTCTAATAGTTATGTCTCCTTAAAATAATTTTGGAGCTAAAATAATTTACAGTAAAGCCCTTAGAAAAGGATCTCTTTCATAGGAAGTGTAACTAGCCATGCTACTTAATTATCTTAGAATTCTATTAGTATTTTAATCATCCTACAAGTATTATAGAAAGACAGCACATCACCTTCAGATAATCATCCTTTCTTCTCTCCAAATATTATTTATTATTGCACAACTCTCTAGATCTTAAATAATGTTAGATACTATTGGCAATAGTGGGCACTTGGGATTTGCTTCTGATTTTACTGTTATGATACTGAGCAAGATAATGGTAAGAAAGCTTCCTTCTTCTTCATTACTAGACTTTATTTTTAAAAAGTTTTTCTTACACATACATTCAATTTGTATTACATGCCTTTTTTGTGTCAATTGAAATGATTGTATAATTATGTATGTATAATTCTATCCTTTCAAACTGTGAGTGTGAACTACTAGACTCCCCAATACTGACCCATCCTTCAAATTATCCAATAAATCAGACTTGAAGATCATGTGTTACGGGGGCCGACAGGTGATGTGGTGGTTAAGGGCACTAGGCTCCCACGTGGTCAACCATGGTTCAAGTCCCGGACCTGGCAGCTTGCTTTCTCACTTTCCCTCTCTTTCTCTGTCCATCTCTGGTCAAATTAAAATAAATAAATAAATATAGTTAAATAAGATAAGTAAAAAAAAAAAAATGGTGTGTTATTCCTTTCATAGAGAGCATTTCATCTTTAGAATGGCTGATTTGCTTCTTTCCTACTGTTCTTGTCATCACAAATATTCTTGGCAGAGCCTGAGAAGCAAGAGCAATTGGTCCAGTAACTGCTTGTTGAATTGCCTCTGTGCAGGCCTGGCGCAAGCGTTGGTTTGTCCTCCGGCGAGGCCGCATGAATGGCAACCCTGACGTCTTGGAGTACTACAGGAACAAGCACTCGAGCAAGCCCATCCGTGTGATAGACCTCAGCGAGTGTGCAGTGTGGAAGCATGTGGGCCCCTGCTTCATTCGGAAGGAATTTCAGAATAATTTTGTGTTTATTGTTAAGACTTCTTCCCGTACATTCTATCTGGTGGCCAAGACCGAGGAAGAAATGCAGGTGTGGGTTCACAGTATCAGTCAAGTCTGCAACCTTGGCCACCTGGAGGACAGTGCAGGTAAGAGCATAGTTGGGGTTCCTGTGTGCTAAGGGGGCAACTGGGAGGCTGCACTTGCACCGGAGCGCTACTGCAGAAAACTGGTTCTAAGTGCCAAGCTGGCTTCCTTGAGGGTGTCTTGGTAGGCCAGTTTGTGTCAGAACTGTCCCCATGAAATACAGTGGTGGAAACTGCCCTTTCCCCCCTAGTTCTAGATGTCAGGTCCAAGTGTGGAAAGACAGGATCCACCCACACAGTGAGCATTGCAGGTGACTTTATGATGTCAGCAGAGCCTTTTCATGTCTTTACTCTCTTTCAGCCACAGAGAATGCATGCAGTAAAAAAAAAAATGAAATGTGGGTGAGGATGTCCTACAGGGCTCTACTTTTTGATGATGCTCATGATTTTTTAGAAATATCAAATACCAGGACCAGTAGATGGTGTAATGCTTATGCTGCTGGATTGTCATGTAGTCAACTGGTGTTTGAGTCCTGAGCCTGGTGGCTTAAAATTCACTCTGTGACTGAAACTGGTTGACTAAAGGCTATAGAAACACAGTAAATGGTTGTAAATACCAGATATAGTGTGTGTGAAAGAGGAGGGTCTGAGGAAGGACATTTAGAAGAAAAACAGAGAGGCAAAGCATTAATGGGACAAAGAAATGTGGTATTATCTGTTGAAGATACTTTTATAGTTTAATCAACTGGACTAGGGAAAAATGTTCACATGTTGAAATATTCACTTTGTAAGCTAAATATTGTGATTGAATGTAAAAGAGAAAATGAAATTTTAAAAAGTTAAAAAAAAAAAAAACCCTCACACTGGGCGTGTGTACGTGCGTGCCCAAGATCCCGAGAGGAGAATGGAGGAGAAGGGATTGCTGTGTGGCCATCTGCCCTGGGAGGGTGGTGGTGGTGGTGGTGGTGATTTCTCGCTTTCTGACTCTCAGTCTCTCCGGCAAGTGCACATGCCCTATAGAATAAATCTCTCTTTAAAAAGTAGCAAATTTTAAAAGGTATGGAATTCTAGCTTTTTTTTGTTGTTGTTGTCTTTTGGATTTCTCAGCACTAAATGATAGAAAAGCAGATCCTGGCTACTTGTCCAAGGCAAGAAAGAACTCTGTGTGTCACGAAATATCTCAAGGTCTCTGCTGGGGAAATTAGTTAGAAGTTTGCCCTGGGCCATTCTGGGCAGTGGGAGCAATTGACCATAAGGAGGCTTGCTCTCTGTCTGTCTCTTCTTCTCTCTTTCTTGTGTGTTGCGCATACACACAGACACATATATGCACATGCACACACATACACACTGCTCTTCTTATATAATATACTAGGTATACTGTTACCTAGAGTTAAAATTCACTTTCCTTCGTGGATTTTGTCATCGAGACCCTGACATTATTACTAAATATGGGGGTGATGAATCGTTTTGGTTTGTTTTGTTTTGTCTCTTGGTTTAGTGCACAAAGCCTTACCCCAAATACGTGTTCTGCAGTAGCAGCATTCCAGTGGTTACTGCTTTTCACCATCTGCCACTGAAATACCCACAGTACAACACTAGATGGCAATAGAGAGTTAAGTTGCAGCTCCCTCTAGACCCGGCACTTGAGAGTGTACTTCTTGAAGACAAAGTCCTTTTCTTTTCATGAACCAGAAAAGCTTATTAAGTGAGGTTATTTGCTCACATTGCTGAGCTTTGAGAACATTCAGATAAAAGGAGATGAAGTGATGGTCAGTTCTTTATCCTTGGTGCAGCAGGCGAAGTTACTTGCAAAGTCACTGTATGTCTATCCTGGCTAGAACCTCCCTGGCCAGTTTCTCCAGCCTTGCTGCTGGCTCTTTGTTACCCTGTTCACTCTCTTCAGCCCACTTAATACGTGTGCATTTATGGTGTTATGCATTGCCCCTGTTGTGTCGCCTTTGTTTCTCTCCTCATCCAGGAGTTATCCTGAAATATATACACATTCTATCAAGTTCATCAGAAAACTCATTATACATTTTTGCATAGTAAAACAGAAAAATAGGTCATGACTTTTCTGATGACTCAATATGTTTGCCAATAACCCTGAAGGAACAGGAATGCGTAAGGCACCAGACAAAATATGGAAAGCCCTGCCCTGGCATGCAGGTAGAAAACTCCCTTATGATCCGTTTAATTCCCTATGTCCCCCGCCGTAAGGGCAGAGTCCTCTTCCTACACTGGAGGGTTTTCTTGTGGCTTTCCACATATGGTGTTTGGCTCTGTCTCCAACAGGTATAGAGCAGTCAACATATTGCATGTGCCCTGGCTGGGATCTCTGCAGAACGGCTTTTTTTTTTTTTGAGAGGTTTTTGCTATAGTGCACGTGCGCTCACCAGAAAGACAGAGAGAGACATAGAGACAGAAAGCGAGAAATCACCCGCCCCCGGGGGGGATGACCACGCCACAATCCCTTCTCCTTCATTCTCTTCTCGAGACCTTGGGCACGCACACACACGCGCCCGGCGTGAGTTTAAGCCACCGGGTCCGGGACTCGAACCGCAGTCGACTACACGGGAGTACAGCCATATAGCCATCACGAACTGCTTTTTCATATTAACTCATCTTACCCTTACTGGTTCCATCTCCACTTTACAGAGAAGAAAACGGGAAGGCAGACTGCAACATGCCCAAAGTCACAATGTGAGCTAAGAGCACCTGACCTTGAACCCAGGCATTTGTGGGTCACTGTGACTCAGGAATCCTGTACTGCCAACTCAGTTCAAAGGACAAATAAAAGCAAGCATTTCACTGGCTGTTTCTGATTTGGAGTCCTCATTGGTTCCTGATCCAGAAACATCTTGAGGGCCCTGTTCTTGGGTGATAGAGAAAATGTTATACTCCTTGAGAAATGCCATCACAGCACC